CTGGCATCTCTTACTTTTATAAGGACACTGCTTATTGAGTTAGGGTCCACTCTTTCAACTTGACCATCTCCAAGTATGCTCTCATTCTAAGATCCTGGAGATTACGACCTCATATATGGAGCTTTTGAGGGTTGGGGATGCAATTCAATCCATAGCACCCTTCCTCCATCGTTTCTCCCTTGTTTACTTAACCATCAAAGCCAAGCATTGCCCATGCCCATCTCCCTTGAGGGCTTGAGGGTGGTGGATGTGTGCACATATTGGTACACAGCCCCCAGTACACATGTGTTCTGTGGGAGTGGAAGGGGGGACAGCTTACCAAGCACGTTCATGTAAGAAGCATTCATGTGCCATTACATATGGGCTTCGTGGAATAACAAAGGATGCCCTCTTGTGTGGAGGCCCCATTTATATGATACTTTTTTTTCCTTATATGAATAATACTGCTAGTGTTTGTATAGTGCTTGATATGTGGTCCAAGCATCATATATGCAGTGATTAATAGAACCCTTCCAACATGCACTCATTCTGCAGATAAGGAACAGAGACCCAGGAGCTCTACTATACCTGTCTGAGTTGGGGATTGAATCCCAAAGGTTGGCTGCAGAGGCAACGCTTTCAATTTCTACCTGACAGTGATTAGAAAGGGCAGGGTGTATTGTTCTCATTGACCGGGTGAGAAAACTGAAACCCAGAAACGAAGCACGGTGGTTTACCCAGGGTCCCCAGGGTAAGAGGCAACGTAAAGGCAGAATTCCAGTTCTGGGAGCCACAGGGACAAAACGTAGGCCTCAAGTTCCCTCCCTATAGTCAAGTACAGGACAGTAGGGCCAACTAGGACTCTCAAACCCCTATTAGGGCTTAACTGTCTCCATACCTCAGGGTAATTACAGGGCGTGAAGGAGGGGAGGCACCCTCTCAAATTAGATTTGACCTCCTAGTCGCCTCCAGTTCCCAGGACCACCAGCCCCGAGGCGTAAGGGTGAGGCCGAGTCTGGGACTTTTCTTGGCAGGGTAGAAGCGGGGGAGTGGGGTGGGGAGGAGGCTGGGCGGGACTGGATGGCCCTGGAACGCCGAGTATCCTATTTCTCGCAACCCGCCAATCCCGACCGCCGGGGGCGTGTCCACACCTTGGAGGGCGGGTCCCGACGGTGCAAGGGCTGCGGCGTCCTGGGGCGCGGCGGTGACGTGAGCTCCGCTCACCTGGGCCGGGCAGGTAAGGGCTGTGCGAGGCCGGGCGGGCGAACCGCAGTCCCCACCTGTGCGGAGCCGGCGCCGCGGGGCTGAGCCATCGAAGAGCGCTGTGGCTATCGTGATTTTTGCTGTGGACTCGGTTTGGAGGGACGTCCGCTTCTGGTAGCCAACTCAGGAATTTTCGGTGGGAACGCCAATTTTGTAGAAACCTTGAAGGAGGGGAGACACCCCCGCCGGTGGGGACAAGTCCATAGCAGTCTGTGGGTGGACGCCTTGCCTGGGGACACTGGGGTGCCTGTCGCTCTCCTCCAGGCGGCTTTGGGGCGGTTCCAGTCCCTCAGCGCTGGCCCCTCCCGAGCGCACGCCGAGGTCCCTCTGTTCGCCGACTGAGACTTGGCTCTGCTGCCTCAACCCATCGGAGAGGGCTGGGGCGTCCAGTCTCCACCGCGTCCTAACCATCGCGTTGGCCTCCGGCCCCTGTGTCCCAAAGTGAGCCAGGCTGCCCTTGGTCTTCATCGGTGTTGGGGAATACCGTGGATGTGGGCGACCAAGCGCTCTGCTTGGGTTGTTTTTCTTACTTGCGTTTGTTTAGCACGGCCAGGCCTCCTGCCCTGGGCCTGGGAGACACCCTAGATCCAGGTAGCCAAACGGGGTGTTGGGAGGGTGGCGCCAGGCGGGCTGCTCCTTGAGGCCCATGCTGTCTGAAGGGGCTGGGAGATGGGGAGAGTTTCCCGCCTGCTTTGAAAGGCCTCTGGGGTGCCTCGTTGTACAGGAACCCTGCAAGGGGTTCCCTGTGCAGGGGTTTCCTGGCCCAACTCTGTCCTCTTTGATTTGTATTAAGAGAGGAAGCCCAAGAGAGAAAGACTGAGACGGAGGGGTCGGGGAGAGACAGCAAGAGCTGGGTGCAGGGCAGAAATGGGGCAGCGTGGGCTCTGGTGTGTATAACAGTGATAGTACCGCCAAAAGACCTGTGTCTCTTTCCCTCAGGGAGAAGGGTGTGGAGAGCTCCAGGTTTACCCGGAAAGGGGGCTGGACCTAGTGGAGGGAAGGACCTAGTGGAGGGAAGGCTTGAACTCATGGTGGTTTCAGCTACTTCAGGGAGGAGGGAGAACATGGGACTTTCCCCAAAACTTGCCTGCAAGAAATGGCAGCTCTGTCTTACTCTGAGCCAAGGCAATGGGCACAACCCATCTCGGCTGTGTGGTTTCCTTGAAGCCACTGGGCAGGGGCTGTGAAGGGTGGGGGTGGCGTGTTTGTAGGGGATTTTCTCTGGCACCAGGTTGAGGGTCCCCTCTCTGTGGGCATGGTGATGGGAGTGAAGGAGTGGCAACTTAGAGACACAGGACTTGAATTTTGCTGTGATGGCAGATGGGCTGATTTCATGTGGGCTGAGGCCAAGGGGTGAGAGTATCTAGGAAGACAGATCCAGGCTGGGTGTGGTGGCGTGTGTCTCTAATCCCAGCACTTAAGAGAGACTGAGGCCAGAAGATCTCTGTGAGTTCGAGGCCAACCTGGAATACAGGAGACCTTGTCTCAAAAACAATAACAAAAAAAGAGAGATCTTGTTTAGATGTGTTCTCCTGTGGCGGTCATTCAGTCTCCTACCCATGCCATTGGTTGGTCCTCCACCGGGTCTCGGTTGGTTTTGGTTTGTTCTCTTGTGTGGACTGGATGGTGCCCTGGCCAGCTGTGGTTCAGCGCACTCTGACTTGAGTGTAGGATCAGGGACCCAGGTAGCTCACCCATTTTTCCGTACCACAGTTTACCCAGCTGTAATATGGGAACTAGGATCCTGACGATGAAATTAGCCATATCAAATGACAGAATGTTAAAACTGAAAAGTGTAAGCAAATATGAAGTTTTTTTTTTTTTTTTTTTTTTTTGAGACACGGTCTTTGTAGTTCAGGCTAGACTTGAACTGAATATGCCCAGACTAGCCTCAAACTCACAGCAATCCTCCTGCCACAGCCTCCCCAGGGCTGGGAGTGCAGGCATGCGCCACCATGCCTGGCAAGGATTATTGTTAACATACTTCAAATGTTATTGTGCTGTGCTTGAAAACTACTGCTTACATTTTTAAAAGGCCATCGTAAATTGAAACATAGCAGAGCATGGTGGCGCATGCCTGTGGACTCACTGCTCAGGAGGCGGAGGCAGGAGCATCCTGTGAGTTTGAGGCCAACCTAGAAATACATAATGAGTTCAAGTCCAGCCCAGATTGCATAACAAGACCTTATCTCTGAAAAAACAAGCAAACAAAAAACTGTGAGAAGGGGCTGGGGAGATGGCTCAGTGGAATAAGCACTTTCCTGGCAAGCGCAAGGACCTGAGTTCAATCCCTGGTTCTGCCAAAAAATAAAAAATAAAAATTGTGAGGAAATGTAAATCATATAGGAAAGTCATAATCCTGTCCCCAGGTACTACTTCAAGTATGTTGCAGTGGTACGTTTCATCCAGTGTGTATGAGAGCTTGTGTAGCAGTGTGCTATTATACAATGTGGTAATATTCTACAGTCTGTGTGCTGTGCCACATTCTCCCCTCACCCCAACTTCATACTGTAAACATTTCCTCAAGTCCAATAAAAATTCTTGATAATGACTGCTTACCACTGCAGCCCTTGGATATGACTTAATGACCCATTACCCTCTACATCATTTTGTTTGTTCTTTATTCTTTCCTGTGCTAGCTTTAGGAATCTTGGTAACCAGATGGTCGGTGGGGAGACCTTGGCTTACTTTCAGAAGGTGCAAGGCTTTGGAATGAGGGGGCGGCTGGGTCTTGAGGCTGAGGTGGGGCTGCTTTTGTGTAGACCCACCTTGGGGGACACTGAGAGCCTGAGGCTCAGATCTCAGTCCCTGATCTCTATGGGTGGCTACTCCTCCTCCTCCTCCTCCTCACTAGTACAGCTACATGTAGTGGCCTGGCTGCCTCAATTTTTTCCTGACATGCTGCAGATCAGCTCTAGGTCCCTGATTAGTCAAGAGGTACATGTAGCATGTCTGACAGGCCCAGGACCAGGAATTATCAGGACTGCCAAAGAAATTCTAGAAATCTCTTACTAGGTTATCAGATACAGTCTGTTCCCCATTTTTTTTTTTTCCCTTGGCCCATCCCCCTTGCATAGGGTTAGGGCAGGTTGAAGAGAGAGCTTGCCTCTGGGAGATTATGTAGTCCCTTCTCATAAGTTGCTCATGAACTCTGGTTTCTGGGGATCAGAGGCTACCCCTTAAGACACCCTGAGCTAGGTGCAGAACTGGGGCATTTGAAAATTGCCGGCTGCCCAAGGAGAAGGTTTCAGTTGCCGGACTTGATAATTGGGTCAAAAGGCTCAGGTAAGAACAGTTCCTACCTTGCTCTTAAAGTGCTAGTGGCTGAGTTGGGTTTGAGCTCTTCACATTTGTTGGGAGTCTGGCAGGGAAGAGATAGAAGGCATGTTAGGGGTCACCCTGAGCTGAGCTGCTTGAGTGGCAGCTTCAGCAGACTCAACTGGTCAGGTCTCAAAGCTGTGATTCAGGAGAGAATCTTTCTGGAGTGAAGGTAACTGCACTGTGGGATTTGAGTAGTCCATGGTGGTTTTCATGAAGAATAGACATCTGGTGAAAATGTTGAGCCTTGGTGTTCAGTGACTAACACAGTGCTTGGCATGTGGTAGTTAGAGAACAAATATTTGTCTGATGACTGTTAATTTTTCAGGCATCCATTTATCTCATCTTAGGTAAAAACAAAGCAAGAATACCAAAGAATCAAACCCAATATCACAGGCCAACAGTTCTGCAGCGCTTGCTTTCTCTTTCAGGTGTCCAGTCTGGGCAGGCCTTTGTTTCTGGCTGTGAGTACCAGCTCCTATCCACTGTTATCTGTTTTTCCTGTGTAGTTTTATAAGAATCAATTGCAGACTTTACCCGGGCTGGCGCCTGTAACCAATTGGTTCACCCAGCCAATGTGGGCTGATAAACAGGGGGCTGGCCCAGCCAGTAGGGCTTGACATTATGAATGTAGTAGGAACTCCAAGGTTAGATTATTACGGGCTTTTTGTACTTTACCAGACTCTGTAGCTGGCAAGCACTCCCAGAGCAATGGTCTCTACTTTTCTCCAGCCTTCTAGACCCTGGGTTCTGTGGATAACCAGCTGACACCCTTTTTCTTGGTGCAGAGTCTTCCGGTGGCCAGCAGGAAAGAAAGCAGATTCAGCCCATTTGTTCAGCTCCCGTGGACAAACTGCCTGCTTCCCCAGGTAAGCAAGGACTTTGTAACCTAGGACCTGTCACTCAGCTACTTCCCTTCTCGTGATGGTGTCCCTTCTTAAGGGAACATTCCCTCTCACTTTCATTGTTCTGGTTTGAAACAACTGCATGTTTCAGCTTCTCACCAGACACTTGCTATTTCTAGAACTCTTGCCTTCAGAAGAGACTGAAAGGGGCCCTCCCCTTCTCTTCCAAAGTCTTTACTACTTCAGGAAGGACCATTCCAGTGGGGATGACATCACCTTTTTATTTTCCTGCTTCAGGATTGAAATAGAAGAAATGTGATCTACCTGCATGATAAGTCTGATTTGGCTAGAGCATGAAGTATAAATGGCTTTGGAATAAGAATCAAAAGAACCTTTTAACCTCTTTTCTTTCCCACTTGGCAGGGTTTATTCCCATATTTAGTTTCTTTGCTGTAATCTAGTGAAACTGTAGCTCTAGCATACGGGAACAGTAGCTGGGAGAAGTTCCCAGTGGCTGGCCTAATTCTCTTTTTCTGCCTACTTTTCAGCCCCTGGCCCCAGACCATGGCCCTCCACCCCCGCAGAGTCCGGCTGAAGCCCTGGCTGGTAGCCCAGGTGGATAGTGGTCTCTACCCTGGGCTCATCTGGCTACACCGAGACTCCAAACGTTTCCAGATACCCTGGAAACATGCCACCCGGCATAGCCCCCAGCAGGAGGAGGAAAACACCATTTTTAAGGTAAATGACTTTCTACTATCTGAATTGAAATTTTCCCTGGTTTCCTCAGATCTTTCTGGGTTTGTTTGCTATGTCTGTTTTGGCACAGGGAATATATAGTAAATTCAAAACTCTGATGAAACAGAATGTGTAGGATGGAGCGCTCTGACTTAGTAGTCATTGTATAAAAATTCCTCTTCTTGGGACGTGCCTGTAATGTTTGATGCCCTTTATTCCTCCCAACTGATTGGAGATTCTCAGTTTGTGCCCCTGAGGATCTGATGTAGGGTCAGCTAAACTGCAAGTACTTGTATGTGGTTGTTGGCAGCCTATCAGGTTTGGCCCTGACTCCTCCTCTTCACACCTTCACTCAAGACTCTTGCCTTGAAGAGGGTGCTTGGCCTGGGGATGGCTATACAGCGTGGGGCAGAACCGTAGGGTGTAAGCAGGATCCTGACATAGCCTGAGAGAGGCTGTGGAGGGCCCATAGCAAGTTATTCTTATGATAGTAAAATATTTTGCCCTATTTGTAAACACTGCTTAAAAGTTAAAGGTATTTTAAGCATAGATTTTTAATTCTGTAAGTATGTTTTCTTTTCTGTTTTTCCTTGTCTCAATACTGGGCATTGAATCCAGGGTCTTTGTACCAATCTCATCCCTAGTCCTTTAAAAAATTACTTATTTCTTTCTTTCTTTTTTTTTTTTTTGTATGTGTTTCTCTCCTCTTTTATTAGTTTTTTAATTTTGTGACAGGGTCTTGCTAAGTTGCTTGTTTGCTCAGGTTGGGTTTAAACTTGTGATGCCTCCAACTCAACTTCTTAACTGCTAGAATTACAAGTATGTAGCACTATACTAACTCTTTTTTTGGCTTTCTTCCTCCCTTCTCTTTGTGGTATAGGCATTGAACTCAGGGCCTAAGACTTGCAAAGCCACCACTCTACCACTATGCTTCATCCCATGCCCAAATTATAATTATGTTTCACCTAGAAAAAAGCTCTGATTTGATAGTCATTTTGTTAGCTGTAAACAGACTTAATCTCATAAAATTTAAGTGAATTAAAGCTTGACTTCAAACAGAAGTAGAGGGGCAGTTGTTGAGGGAAGGAGTTCCATCCACATGGTTGCAATTTCAGGAGCTGCCTTCACTCCAGACCAGCCTTTCCCTGAGAGTCCCTTTCATCTTAGCAATAGCTTTATTTCATTTTTTGCAGCTCCAAGACACAGAAAACTGAACTTGTCCTTTTTTTCTCTGTCTATAAGCTGGAAGGGGTGTGTGTGATCCGGTCATGACTATGGGCCTCTCAAGATTGATTCTTTAGGTTCTTACTGCAACAAGACCAGAAAAGGGCTCAAGGAGTGACATGTAGCAGTTGTTCCACACCTGACTCGGCTATGTCAGGTGTGAAAAGCAGGGGCAGATGAACTTGACCTGTGGATACTTAGAAAAAATGCAAATGGACATTCTTCATTTAGGGATAAATAAGACATATTAAGGAAAATCTGTAACCCAATGTTTGGAGTTGGTGTTAAGCAGGTGAGGAGCCTTGGCCTAGAATGGGCTTCGCTGTTGCAGGGCCTGCTTGGTGATGCAGAGGAGGCAGGTTTCCTAAAAGCCCCACTCGTAAAAGGGCTTGCTTGGGACTTGAGGAAAGTTTCAGAGAGGCCACTTTGCTTTATCACCTTATCTGTTTGTAAAATGCAAGGGAGGGCCTCAGAGGGCCTCAGGAGGTCAGTAGAACAGTAAGAATGTTTTCACAGATCCAAGCTCTGATAGTTCCTGGCAAGATGGTTGAGGCACTAACAAGCAACTAGAGCTGATGCTCATGACCTCATTGAATTCTCACGGTAATCCTGTAAGAGAGGTATCACCCCCATGTTGTATGGGCAAAAACTTACTCCCAGAAGGGCTGCATGACTTTTCAAAAGTCACAGCCAGTAAATGGGGGGGGGGGGCTAGGATTATGTCTTTTCAGTCCCCTCCTACCTGCTTCTTGCCATTGTACTACCTATTGGGACTCTGACCAGGAGTTGGATCACATGGCCCCAAGTCCTGCCACCATGAACTACGTGTGTGGTCCTGGACAAGGATGTCACCCCTCCATCCTCCAGTTTCCCATTTAGTAAATGGGATGAAACCTGTCCTGCCTGCCTCCCAGAATTATGGTGAGAAGCAAGTGGCACCAGTATAAGAAAGGACTTGTAAAACACCATCAAAATGCAGAGATGAGTCCATTCTAGGAAGAGAAGTAAGGAACTGCACAATGAGCAGAGTCTCTGAAACAAGGCTTGGGTTGGGTATGAGCAAGTAACGTTCCTCAGTCATGATGGTTTGCCATATGGTACCTTGTAGGCATCCTTCCTTGAGCCTGAAGTTCTACCTATCCGGGTGGCCCTTCTGCTGCATCAGCCTGAGGACCTCAGCAGCATCTGAGTGGGCTGGGGAATGCTGTGGGGTGAGCAGGAAGCTGTGATCCTGTGGTCTTCTGGCTGCTCCACAGAGAAGCAGGATTCTGGGAACCACCAAAATTCTAAAACCTCTGCCAAAGTTTTCAGAGCCCAAGTTGACTGGCTGGGGCCAGAGGAAGCATGGACAGAGGATCAAAGCCCCCCACACACTAGGGGCCCATGGAGTTGGAACCCCCAGCAGGGAGGTAGATTCAGTGGCAGATGTTAGGCTCCCTCAGGCCTGCCAAGCCACGTAGGGTAGCATGACCTTGTCAGAATTCTTTCCATATCACACCGCACATGAAGGAGTCCCAGACTGAGGAGAAGGTAAGAGAGAGTGGGTCTGACCTAGAGGAGGTGGAGGACTAGATCAGCTCTGTGAATAATCTCCCTCATGACTCTGGGGCTCTACAGAGGGGAGAGATCTCAGAGGATAGGGCAGGAAGATGGAATTTCAGCTTGAGGAAAGTGTCTGGACAGAACCAGAGATAGGAGGTTGGGTCTGGACTAGTGGCGTGCTTTGTCAAATTTTTTTTTTAAAAAAAAAATAGTATGTACTTCCTGTCTTGAGTTTTTTCTGGTCAAATCTACTTTTTCTCTATTTAATGTGTCACACTCCAGAGAGTGCTTCATGATCAGAGAGTGTGTTAATAACCAGTGAGGGTTGGTATCCTGTGGGTAGAAACACGCAAGGCATGATCCAAAGATA